GAATGAATAACTAAGCAAATAGTGAGTAGTGGGGTTAAGAAAATAACTGTTGTTAGGTCAGTAAAAATCAGTGCTATTTGATAAACAAAAAACACTTTTTATAATTTAGCGATGGAAATATCTGTATTTATCTGAAAAATATGCTGTAAACTAAGGATAAATCAGTAATCTGCTTTAAAAAAATCAGTCTTTAATCAAATACAATCACTTCTTGTGATAATATTTCATAAATAAGAAGTTGGTTAGCCAGTAAAGGTAAAACAGTGAAATAAAACTTTTTTAGCTTTGTAATAATCAGCTTTTTGTGAAAACTAGTAGATTACTTATCTACATTTAGATCAGTAAAAATCAGAAGGTCAGCTTAATAGAAATCAAGTATTTTAAGTAGAAATCAGTGATTAGCGCTCTAAAAAAATCACTAAATATTTAAGTGATACTCAATAGGCCAACAACGTCAAATATTAGACAACTTTTATGTAATTTTGTATACACAGTGTATACAAAACAAAATTTCATTTTGTACAGCTCTCACATTTCCATGTCTTAAAGTGCAGCACTGATCAAATGTAAACAATGTGGGAGAAAAAGAAAAAAAGTTAAAAATGGTGCAAAAAAAAAGCATTGATATGGAAGTTCAGAGCATCAAAATATGGTGCAGTCATGCAGTGTTTGGGTTTGGTGTTATCAGGTTGATGCAGAATCTGAAATCCAAATGAAAACAGAAAAGTAGTTATAAAACTAAAATAAAACTTCTGAAATCCAAATGAAAACAGAAAAGTAGTTATAAAACTAAAATAAAACTAAGATAAAACTCTGCAGTTAGGTCAGTGGAAAGTTAGTGGCTACAGTAGGCTAAAGAGGTACAGACCTCTTACCACTTACTGGCAATAACTAGCTAAAACTACAACATGTTCTAAGTGAATCATTTAAGAAATTATAAAGACTATTTTAAAACGGAGCACTGAAAATGCCAATAACTCAATACATCAGTTAAATTTGTAGGTAAAATGCTATCGGTATTTTAGCTTTTTAGAATAAAACTGTCATGATTTTGGCACTGATGGCTGGTCTCATTCCTCAATTCATTCACCTGCCTATTTCTTCACAGTTCTTATTAATTTTAATCTCATCGACCTGTTTCAGCCTCTATTTAACCAGCCTTCAGAAGAGCCATCAGTGCAAGATTATTCAAGCCTACGAGGAGAGTTTCTCTAGCATAGCTGAGTGTTTCTGATTACCTGATCCTGACCCATTCTGCCTCTAGACCGCTGAGCCTGCCAGTCCCTGCTCTGATCTGTTTGCCTGACCTGTCTTCGGACTCCTGCCGGATTTCAGCCAGTATACCGAACCTAGAACTGTTTCCTGAAACTGTCCTGGATTTCCCTCCAGTACCTCTTCAGAGTTCGGACCTCTGATCTCCTGGCATGTCCTCGACACCGGCTTTGGTTCCGCCCTTAGTTTATACTGCCTTTCTTTGTCGGTTCTGATCTGCTGCATGTTCTCCAACCTCCACCGTGTCCTGTCGGCACTCGACCAGCTTGAACCAACGTCATCCTCTAGGCACAGACTGAACTTTAAGACCAGGTTAGTGACTCACACATTCATTATCATCCACTGCCAGATTAACATGGTCACTAACCTGTGTTCTTCTCCTGCAAAGGTTCATGCATTAGATGCAAACGCTGTTCTCTGCACTTCTGTCTTTAATAAACGTTTTTTTTTAAACCTACCTGTCTTTCCCCCTCGAATACTAGGTCCTTTTGTTCTGAGACTTACAAAAACTCCCATACACTCTCTGAAGGTTGAGTTGATAAAATGTGTCAGGAAATTCTTACTTGAAGTTTAATATATACTAACGCATTTTTAGCATCATGTTTCAGCACACAAATTGTTGTCTTGAAGAACAAGAAATAATCCGAATCTGAACTTTGTCTTTTGTAATGCTGCATTGTCTGCATACATCTGTCTAAGCACAAGTAAAGGTTATTTTTGCTTCTGACAGCTAGTCGAAGGCTAAAAGCCAAACATTTTAAACCCATTTTCACATATTCTGCATGAAAATAAACACTATGTAGAAAAAACTTGTTTTCCTCTCTTGAGAGTATATCAGATGTGGTGCAAGGAAAAAAGTAGTGGCAGTAATAAGCCATTAACGTCTAAATTCACTTGATGTGTTTTGGTATCAGTGCCTTGATGCGGGCAACAGTTATAATATGCAAAACAAAGTTAATATGGGGAAGTTGTGAATGTGGTTGAAAATTTGGTCGAGTTGAAGCCTGTTTAAGACCAGGGTTTTATTCATTTCTTCCTATGTTTCAATCTTGGTTTCTGACTCTTAATTTTGATGGTTTATATATAATTGTTTTCACATGTTTAGGCATTGGAATTAGTTAGTTTAAGGCAGTTAAACAACATGAATGTGTTTGTTCTTTCTTTAGAGAAGTTCATAATGCCCTCCCTTCTTCCTACAGTTCTGTTTCAGGTGGGAAAAGCAACCTGATGAGCAGCTCTACTAAAAGAAAGTTACTGAGTGCCTCTGAATCAGAAAAACATTGTATTTGAGCTAAAAACTACACTATAAGCTGCCGTTATTAAGACCAGACATTATTTTGAAGCCGCAAGACAGCTCTTCTAGGGAGGAGAGGTTTGGGCACTTAAAAGGAAGGAGCTGTGGTACCAGATGATGTTGGAGGACATGGTGCATGCCAGCGGAGGTGGGGTTGTTTTTATAGCTTGGTGAGTTTTTCCTACAGCAAAGCCAGCAGGATCTTAGGATTTTGTATGAAAAAAAGAAGGCAAGTGGATTTTAAATAGGGAAAGGATCCTGTACTTACTGGAATGAGAGTCAAATATCCTGCTGCGACTGTTAAGATTTAAAACCTCTTGATGCATCCAGTTCTGTTCCGAGTGGATTGTATTGGGATTTTATTTAACAGAGCGACATAAAGTATTGCGTTTTATTCATTTTTGCAAGGCACTGTAGGTTCCCTTTGTTTGGTTGGCCGTCCTTCTTCAGCTCCAGAAGCTTTCCAACATTTTCTTGTGAACTTTAGTGAGCCATCAAAGGAGCCCTGAGGGCAAGACAGCAGACCTATCTCCCAGTAGAAAGCGGTGCGGCCTACCTGCACTTTCTGAATAATAACACTCTCCACCTCATATGTAGCCTATACAGAAACTGCTTAGCATATTACAGTAATCGAGTCAGCGGAAACAGGCCGTGCTGTTTCACATTCGCCTGTGGGTGGCTGCTGAGATGCAAAATCAAATATAAAGTAATGGAAATAAAGGCTGATTGGATTAGAGCTGGTGGTAGGGAAGGTGATTTCTGTTGCAATGAGCTGGAATTGGATAAAAATGTTTGTTTGATTTTGCTACTGAAGGTTATGGAAAGCAAGGAGGAACAATTGAACACATGGAGAGGAATATCAGGTTGTTTTGAGAGTAGGAAGACCATTTAATTGGGTTCTAAGGTTAAAGAAAAGTGGTAATATTTCTAAACCTACATTTTTTATGGCTGTGTTTAAACATGTATCTGTAGATAAAAAAAGAACAAAGATTTTTCTCTTACAGAACCAGTCGTTTCAGTGAGCAGACATTTCTCAAATTCCCTAAATTATATTTTGTATCACAAATAAGGTTAAAGATTTTTTTTATAAACAAAGAGTTTCTGTCTATTATCTTTTGGTTTGTAGCTATTGGTCTCTATGAGTGCGATAGCCTTGAATGTTAAAGATTTGAAACAAAAATCTTCAAAATGATGCTATTGTTCATGTAAGAGACCTAAAAACCTTGTAGCTTTCCAACTTTTCTTTTAAAATCAGAGTTATCTCAGTGAGACTGATTCCAAACCACAATTTTCCCTGTTGTATAGTATCGAAACACAAAAAAAAAATATTCAGTACCCTGCTTTTAGGTAGCTGAGCTGCAGTATGCAGCAACATGCTGGGGAGGGTCAGCAGTGCTTTACTTTACTAAAAATAAAATCTACTTGCTTTAGTATTTACTCTAACATTACTTTAAAGTACTTTAATCTTAAAAATTCTGACTTTAATCTCAGCATTCTTACTTTTTTCTTAGAACTCTGACTGTAATGTCAGAATTCTGACTTTAATCTCAGAATCCTGACTTTAATCTCAGAATCCTGACTTTAATCTCAGAATCCTGACTTTAATCTCAGAATCCTGACTTTAATCTCAGAATTTCTTAATGTAGATGGGGGAAGAGATGTGGGAGCACTCAGCTTTACTGACAAAGATGTGAGTTGTTTGGGAAGGCCAGTAACACATTGGTGAAAAATGACGAAATTAGTGCCTGAGGAGTCTCTGGTGATGCTAATTCATTAATGGAGGAGCAGAAGGCAATTAAAACAAAAGAGCTAGTCTCTAAAAGAGACATGGCTTTGGTTTGATGCTAACAGGTTTGTTAGCTGTCAGAATTCAATCAGATTTCTGAGATTAAAGTCAGAATTCTGAGATTAAAGATAGAATTCTGAGATCAAAGTCAGAATTCTGAGAATAAAGTCAGAATTCTGATATTAGAGTCAGAATATTGAGAAAAAAGTCGGAATTCTGAGATTAAATTCAGAATTCTGAGAAAAAAGGTCAGAATTCTGACTTTTTTTCTCAGAATTCTGAGATTAAAGTCAGAATATTGAGAAAAAAGTCCGAATTCTGAGATTACATTCAGAATTCTGAGAAAAAAGTCAGAATTCTGATATTAAATTCAGAATTCTGAGAAAAAAGTCAGAATTCTGAGATTAAAGTCAGAATTTTTTCTCATATTAAACTAAAATAATATTTAAAATTAATATTAAGTTTTTTTGTTTTTTCAGTGGCCCTAATCCTCTTCCGTAGATATGTGACTCCAGTCAAAAAAAATAAATAAATAATAAAATGTTGTCAAAGGTCCCCCCACTTCATATGATGTCCAAACAGCCTGGACAGCGGTAGATGGGCCCGTTGTCATCCGGCTGACCCCGCCTCTGGTAAAGGCAGGGGCGCTCCTCCATGTGACGCTGGGGCTGTAACAAAAATCCAGTATGGCGGAATCTGTCAGGAGATGAATTTTCTTTTCCCGTACGTCGCCCCCCCTCAGAGTCTCTAACATGGGAGAGAAATAAAAGGCAAAGCAAGCGGGACGCACGTCGGGACGCCTGGCCGCCTCCATGCCGGTGTAGGTGAGCTGTTTATGCGCTCTGTGGATGAATGTGCGCTGCTTATATATTGGTTCTCCGCCAGGGATGCGATCCACACACACTGGGATTCATCAAAACAATGTCCGGCTCAAGTTTCCACAGCGCTCCGCTTCGGTTTCGGTTTCCACCGCTCCTTATCAGCGGCCGTCGGTGGGTCTGAGGGTGTTTGAAGGCGGTAGGAGTCATTTCAGCTTTTTAAATCGTGAAAACTGTGCGGGTTTTTTTTTCTTGGGGACGGTTTGTTTGTGCTGTTGCGGGCGGGAAGTGAGGGGCGATGCTTATTATGCCGATTGTTGCTGCGCTATTTATAGATCACGGCAGAGCCTTGGGCTTTAACGTAAAATGCGGAGTGAAAACACTTCTCCACTTTTTTCTAACGGGCTGCTGGCATTATTTTGGTAATCCAAGACCCAGGCCCGGGTATTTGTGTGTGAATGGTTCGGGATGGGCGGTGGTAATTCTCTGCATGCGTCAATCTTTTTTTTTTTTCTTTTTTTTTTTGTGAATGGGGGGAACGGGCTGTTAAAGCAGTTAAAGCAACATCTGAGTTGGAGATGGTAGGGTGGGTTTAAAGCGTTGTTTTACTCAGATTCTCAGCAAATACTGAAAAAAAGAAGTGCACTTTTTGTCTGTTTGTATCAGAGTTGTATTGAGAGCCCCCTCTCTGTCATTTACAGTAGGTCGACCGATGTGGATGTTTGTATGGCCAATTCTGACACCAATTTTTATTTTATTCTTTTACATTCAAGAATAAAGTTGTAATATATTACGAGAATGAAGTCGCAATGAGACTGAAGTCATTAAATTACAAGAATAGAGTTGCAACATTAAGGGAATAAAGTTGTAGTATTACGAGAATAAAGCCACAACGAGAATAAAGTAATAAGATAACGAGAACAAAGTCGCAATGAGACTGAAGTCATAAAATTATGAGAATAAAGTCATAAAATTACAAGAATAAAGTTGCAACATTAAGGGAATAAAGTCGTAATATTACGAGAATAAAGTCGCAAGATTACGAGAATAGAGTCGCAATGAGAATAAAGTCATAAAATTACGAGAATAAAGTCGCAATGAGACTGAAGTCATAAATTTACAAGAATAAAGTTGCAGTATTAAGAGAATAAAGTCGTAGTATTACGAGAATAAAGCCACAACGAGAATAAAGTCATAAGATAACGAGAACAAAATCGCAATGAGACTGAAGTCATAAAATTTTGAGAATAAAGTCATAAAATTACAAGAATAAAGTTGCAACATTAAGGGAATAAAGTCGTAATATTACGAGAATAAAGTCACAAGAGTATGAGAATAAAGTTGCAATGAGACTGAATTTATAAAATTACGAGAATAAAGTCATAATTACGAGAATAGAGTTGCAACAATAAGTGAATAAAGTTGTAATATTATGAGAATAAAGTCGCAAGATTACGAGAATAGAGTCGCAACGAGAATAAAGTCATAAAATTACGAGAACAAAGTCGCAATGAGAATGAAGTCATAAAATTACAAGAATAAAGTTGCAATATTAAGAGAATAAAGTTGTAATATTACGAGAATAAAGTTGCAAGATTACGAGAATAAAGTCGCAATGAGACTGAAGTAATAAAATTACGAGAATAAAGTCATAATTACAAGAATAGAGTTGCAACATTAAGAGAATTAAGTCGTAATATTACGAGAATAAAGTCGCAGAAACAATAAAGTCATAAAATTACGAGAAAAATGTTGCAATGAGACTGAAGTCATAAAATTACGAGAATAAAGTCACAACAATAAAAGAATAAAGTCGCAGCATTAAGAGAAAAAAGTTGCAACATTAGGAGAAAAAAGTCGTGAAATTAAGAGAATAAAGTCGCAACATTAAGACAATAAAGTCACAACATTACAAGAATAGTCATAATATCAGGTGAATAAAGTCACAAGATTACGAGAATAAAGTTGCAATGAGACTGAAGTCAAAAATAAAGAGAATAAAGTCATAATTACAAGAATAGAGTTGCAACATTAAGAGAATGAAGTTGTAATATTATGAGAATAAAGTTGCAACATTGCGAGAATAAATGAATAAAAATACAAGAATAAAGTCGCAACATTACAAGGATAAAGTCGCAACGGGAATTAAGTCATAAAATTATGGGAATAAAATTGTAGGTTTTTGAGAATAAAGTCATAAAATTACAATAATAAAGTCATAACATTACGAGAATAAAGTCATAATATTATGAGAATAAAGTCCTAATATTACAAGAATAAAGTTGTATTCTATGACAACTTACAAGAAGCACTTTCTTCCCTAAAATGAGGAATTTTGGGCATCATGTGAAGTTATACTTTGGCTTTGGTTTGACAAATAAAGAAATCTTTTAGCACAGCAGCATCAAAGTGGTCAGTATGTCAAAATAGACTCAGGTTGCTGTTTGTTAGTGCTGGTCGGCCTGTCACATGCTGGTTGGAGCTCGAAGCTTTCTTTCTGAAACGGATTGTGGTATGAGTATTAATTCAGGTAAGTTTACAACTTAAGTCTCGTAATTTTATGACTTTATTCCTGTGAATGTACGACTTTATACTCATAATCTTACCAATTTATTTTCATAATATTGCGACTTTATTCTCATAATGTTATGACTTTACTCTCACATAAAAACAAATCTCTAGCCTGGCCCTTATACTCCATCCTAAATGACTGATTTATAAAGCTGAGTTCATTGTTTTGGATCCTTAAATGGTTGAAGTTGAAGGGGTTTTTGAGAAACAGAGAAAACTAAAGCTTTTTCAGGGTTCAACACTTTAGCTTTGATAAAGGTTGTTAGATAATACCAAGATTTTGAACAAGAAAATCATGCTTTTTACTGTAAATGAAGTTTTCAAAATGACCACTTTGCAACAATTTAACCCATTATGCATTAGTTTTAAAAATGAAAAAATGTCGTGCTTGAAAAAAACCTGCAAAATGTGGTGAAACATTATATTGTCCTAATAATAATAGTATACCGTCTTCATTAAAAACTAACACTCAATTAAAAAATGAAAATATTCAGAATAAAAGGGGTGCATGAGGACTATACCACCTTTGAAGGGTGTGAGAACCATACATTTGCCCCATTTACACTAGCACTCTGAAACTAATCCGTGCCGAGTTCGGACTGAGCTTGGATCCTACGAACATTATCACGCTAGCACGCTTCCTTGCCTCCTATTGGCCGTCCACGACACTACAGCTCTCAAGGCGGGAATTGCGCAAACAAAAATGGCAGCGCCCATAATTTTGACGAATTTAATTTTTGTTTATATTACTGATATTTCGTCCCTTGCGAAATTTCAGGCGAAGGTTTCTTTTACCCGACAGAGTCGGCTTTTGGGAAGTGGATGAGAAAAATAACAGTCTAATCATTGCTTACCGACGCAGGAAGCTACGACAGACGTTGAGATTCATCACGCTGCTTTGCGAAACCTGCGAAATGAGTCAGCTGACTGTAAATAACAGATGATGCGGTCTGCTCTGTGTTATCAGAAAACAAAGCCACAGATGAACCTTGCCGAGCCCTACCAGTACTAGATTTAGCACGTTTTGTTTGTGTCTGGCACAGTCCAGTTCAGTTGCGTTCCATTAACACCTAACAGTTATCTCAGTTACTGTGCTCTGACCGTTCTATGCACGGTTTCAAAAGGCTAGTGTAAACGGGGTAATACAAATAGTCTACATTAACACCAGAAATGTTGTTAAATATCTTACGAGATGCTTTTTTATTGTTGCGATAGTGCGTTAGCTCGAATGCTAAATAGTAAGAGCATACTTTGAAGCTGAATAAGTAAATATGATAATGCTACATGAAAACAGAATTGATTTTTAATACCGTTTTGGGGCCTGCGTGCAAAATTTTGTGTTCAGACAGTTTGCAACTGGCGAGAGAACGTCTTCAACGTCAAATAATTTGCATAAATCTTCTAAATTCTTTGTACAGTCTACTGTCAGCAAATGCACTATTACGGTTTAATTAAAATTACTCGTATTTGATAAATTTTGTAAAAAAGGTCTAATTACATGTAAGATTAAAACATTTCTATAGTCATTTATCTCCATGATTAATGAACGTCCTTATAATAGCAAGAAATGACCTAATGTGCACTTAATAAATATTTATCTGTTAAGATTTAGATTTATTTAGATTGGATTTAGATTTGTTATAATTTTAATGTGGAAAGGGAAAAAATATATAGGCTTCAATAATCGGCAGAAGATATCAGGAATGGGTTATTTTGATATAAAAAAAAAACTATCGGTCGACTTCTAATTCTCCGGTTTATATGTTTTAGAAGGAATTTTTATGATGAGATTTTGTCTGTTGAAGGTTTATTATTAAAAAGTGACAAAAAGCTAATTAACAAAAGACAAAAATATAACTGAATTGAACTTTTTGTATAAATATTTTAAAAGTTCTGAGGCAGTCTACTTAAGCAGATACATTTTAAGTGATTCAATAAAGTTATAAGAGCAATTTTAGCATCTTCTGATGATTTATCTACTTAACTTATTTAAGCAGTTTAGAACCAAGAAAAACAAGCTTTTTTTTGACCATGTTGCTTCACAGCAGATGATTTGAAGAAAAGAACCAGTTGTTTCTAGCAGTAAAATATCATAAAAATCTCTTTCTCTTTCTAAGTTTCAGTAATTTTCTTTTAATCTATAATATTTTTTGAAGATCATAAAACTGATATCTTTTGAATTTAAAAAAGCAGAGCATCATCAGACACTTGGAGAATAAAAAATGCGATTATTTAGTCCAAAGATAACGATTTAAAAAAGAAAGAGTTGCATATCTCCATCAATCAGATAATTAGTATTTGAGCTCATTATTTACCGATAGGGTGTATGGCTGTAAAATGATGACTAAGATAAGCACATATCAGATGCTTTTTGATCTTTTATCAACAAAGCATCCCCTATTAGATTATTTTTTTACCATTTAGACAAATTTCTCTCTGTGGTCTTTTCCAAAACAGCTCTTTTCTGTATTTTTTTGTTCAACTTTGGGCTGCAGGGCACGTCCCCCCAGTTCTGTCACCCTGCATCAAGCCAACTCATCTTGGGGGACAATGGTCGCAGACATTTACGTTAGTACCCCCCTCCCAAAACAAATGAGGTACACACGCGAATGGTGTTGCACCAAGGCTTCACCCTAAAACCCAGTGACACACACATTGAGGATCCACCCCCTCCTTCCAAGCTTAGCCCCTTCATCACAAAGCGAAAGTGTGCATGCAGTGTGCAGTGACCGACTTTTTTTTTTTAGGGGGTGGGGGCAATTTGTCCTGCGGCTGTACTGTCTGCCCCTGCCTCGTCTTGAGACCAACCCCCAGCCTTTAATGCACCCAAAGCCACACACACACATGTGCGTCCATCCTGTTTTGAACAGCCTCGGAGACCCTCTGCCAGGCAATAAACATCCACTCCCACCTCCCTCTAAGGGCACGCCTGCCTCTCCTATTTGCAGTGGTATACTAAAAGTATAATGTACAATTGTTTAGTATGAAACAATTCTTAAAATGTTCCTTTATCATGCAGTTTGGATTGTATCATACAATTTTGGTGCTTGAGTACATGACATTTAGCATGCACAAAACTGTTTTACACATTTAAAAACAAAACCCAACTAGCTTGAATTAAGAATAATGGTGCTACCTTATTTCTGCAACCATGGTTTGAGAGTTTTTCACTTTTTTTTGTTGCATCTGTCGACTTTAAATACAAAGTAGGGATGCAAGTTATATATAAGTTATATAAAGAGTTAATCTAGAGTTGATTGATCTGGCCAATCGGCAAACTATTCATTGAGAAGCTGCAATCTCCTTAAAAAGTTGAGTATTCCCTTGTATAAAGAAGGCCTTATCATAACATAAACCTTTCATATTATGCTATATTAGGAGCAGAGAAGAAAGTTATTATATTTCTGGTAATTTAATGCTACAGTGCGTAATAATTACAGGGAT